TAAACCATCTTTGCTACGCGCGTTGGAAAGCGGGCGATACTTGAATATGAGTTTTCGCTCTTGGGATCTATACAAATTTCCTCTATTGCATAATACGACTAAACATTCGTGGACTGTGAAAGCCGCCTCTCAATTGGAGAAGCCGCGATACGTGATCTATGCGCTGCAGACTGGCAGAAAAAATGCTGTGTCAAAAGATACTACATTCGACGACTGCAAATTGACCAACGTTAAACTCTATCTAAACTCGGAATTTTATCCCTACGATGATTTGAATTTAGATTTCGATAAAAATAGATTCGCCCTCTTGTTCGATATGTACTCTCGTTTTCGCAAATCTTATTACGGATGTGATAATGATGATGTGCTATTAAACATTTCAAAATTTTTACATTGCGGTCCTCTCGCGGTTATCGATTGCTCGCGACAAAACGAGTCTGTCAAAAATTCCACCGTGAACGTAAGATTAGAGTTTGAGTGCAAGGAGGATATACCAGCAAATACCACCGCCTATTGTCTCATCTTGCACGATCCCGTTGTCGAATATTGCCTATTGACCAACCTAGATCAGCAAATATCCCCTCCAATGTCAAAAATATATAAAGATTGAGATTTAAACGATCGACAGCAGTCGTACATCATTCTTGCAATCGTACAGTAATATTATCAGCATGATCGCGCCAACGTTTGTGGATCTGCAAGGATTCATTATCGGGAGAAACTTTGTCGTGAAGGAAGTAGCGATACTGAGAAATGGATTTGTTCTTTCTCACTACTTTTTTGCAAGTCCCGTAACATGGCGTGAGCTTACAAAATCTGAGAGATGCCAAGCTTCATGGCTAATCGGACATCACCATGGACTTCAATGGGAGGATGGAAACGTTCCATACAGCTTCGCCAGGCGTTTGATTACGAGAGCTGTGATGGGTGCGGCGGAAGAGAAAGATGGAGCGTCTCCTATCAAGTACGTTAAAGGACACGAAAAACGAGAATGGCTGGCCGATATACTTGACGATGATGCGAGAAACGACGTTATTATTGAGACCTTGGATGCGGACTATGAAGATATAACTTCGTTAAATAAGCTAAATGTTACTAATACTATGCGATGTGAAGAACATTTAAAAAATTGCGCTTTAGAAACGTTGGAATAACTTCCACGATTAAAAACTATGTCTCTCTAACAGCCGAGAGGGGTAAAATCTTGGAGAATGGTGCGTGGAATATATCGCATGATGCTGCTGAAGCTTACTTCAATTTATGCGTGCCGCTAAACATAATACTGGGTTTTTGCGAAGATTATAAGCGAGTTGTGATTAACGCGCGTCACGAATTAATTCTGATACGTTCGCGCAACGACAACAATTGCATATTTGGACATGCTTCGGCTGAAGCTAATATCGAATTATTCAAGATACAATGGCGTATGCCTCATGTAATATTGAGCGAGGTCAATAAACTATCCTTGCTACGCGCGTTGGAAAGCGGTTGATACTTGAATATGAGTTTTCGCTTTTGGGATCTATACGAATTTCCTCTATTGCATAATACGACCAAGCATTCGTGGACCGTGAAAGCCGCCTCTCAGCTGGAAAAGCCGCGATACGTGATCTTTGCGCTGCAGACTGGCAGAAAAAATGCTGTGTCAAAAGATATTACTACATTGGACGACTGCAAATTGACCAACGTTAAACTCTATCTAAACTCGGAATTTTATCCCTACGATGATTTGAATTTAAATTTCGATAAAAATAGATTCGCCCTCTTGTTCGATATGTACTCTCGTTTTCGCAAATCTTATTACGGATGTGATAATGATGATGTGCTATTAAACATTTCAAAATTTTTACATTGCGGGCCTCTTGCGGTTATCGATTGCTCGCGACAAAACGAGTCTGTCAAAAATTCCACCGTGGACGTGAAATTAGAGTTTGAGTGCAAGGAGAATATACCGGCAAATACTACCGCCTATTGTATCATCTTGCACGATCGCGTTGTCGAATATTGCCCATTGACCAACGTAGTTCGTAAAATTACCTAAATCAGCAAATATCCCCCCCATTTGCACGATCGCGTTGTCGAATATTGCCCATTGATCATCGTAGTTCGTAAAATTACCTAAATCAGCAAATATCCCCTCCAATATCAAAAATATATAAATCAGCATGATCGCGCCAACATTTGTGGATCTGCAAGGATTCATTATCGGGCGAAACTTTATCGCGAAGGAAGTAGCGACATTGAGAAATGGATTTGTTCTCTCTCATTACTTTTTTGCAAGTCTCATACTATGGCGTACGCTTACAAAATCTGAGAGATGTCAAGCTTCATGGCTAATCACCATGGATTTCAATGGGTAGATGGAAACGTTCCATACAGCTTCGCTAAACGTTTGATTACGAGAGCTGTGATGGGCGCGATGGAAGAGGAAGATGGAGTATCTCCTATCGTGTACGTTAAAGGACACGAAAAACGAGAATGGCTGGCCGATATACTTGACAATGATGCGAGAAACGATGTTATTATTGAGACCTTAGATGCGGGCTATGAAGATATCGCTTCATTAAATAAGTTAGATGTTACTAACACTATGCGCTGTGAAAAACGTTTAAAAAATTGCGCTTTACAAAATGTATTTAAAATATAAAATTGGTGAACGAATCATCATAAAGATTCATCAAAACATTATTTAGAATAAACTAATGTTAAAATATATTTTTATTCTCTTTTATTCTTCCCTTTTCCTCTTTCTTATCCCAGTATGCCAGTATTAAATCTCAGTACGTGACGTTAGATAGCGGCGTCAGCCATCTTATCAGAATACAGATGTTACATTTCAGTACATGGGCATAGACTTTAAATATTTGAATGGTGTATAAATAATTGTTTTGTCGTTCAAAACCGTTCGGTAGCCGTTCGATAGCTGTTCATAGCCGTTCAAAAGCCGTTCGATAGCCGTTCGATAGCCGTTCGATAGCCGTTCGGTAGCCGTTCGATAGCCGTTCAAAGCCGTTCAAAACCGTTCAAAGCCGTTCGATAGCCGTTCAATAGTTGTTTATAGTCGTTCGATAGCCGTTCAAAGCCGTTCGATAGCCGTTCAATAGTCGTTCATAGCCGTTCACAGCTGTTCAATAGTCGTTCATAGCCTTTCGATAGCCGTTCAAAACCGTTCGATAGTCGTTCATATCCGTTCAATAGTCGTTCATAGCCGTTCGATAGCCGTTCAAAGCTGTTCAATAGTCGTTCATAGCCGTTTGATAGCCGTTCAAAGCTGTTCAATAGCCGTTCGATAGCCGTTCAAAGCCGTTCGATAACCGTTCAAAGCTGTTCGATAGTGGTTTACATATTATAATACATTTATATTTAAAAGACTTTTAGATAATTGTCTGCGGGAACGTGCTTACTTTTGTCTTCTTATCAAGTGCAGAAGGTAAGCGTTCTTTGTAAGTGATACATCCCCTACTCTAAATGTTTAATCGAGACAATGTCTATCCCATTATGTCCGTCACAAAGTGTCTGACAACGAGTGAAGTACGTTTAGTGTATAAAAATGTTTCGCCTTAATCTGGTAAGTAGTGTTCAGTATTTTCATATGTGACATTATGTCTGATGTATATTACATAATAATATATTTCAGTTTGTGCAAATAGAGGACATCCATCGCCGATACATGCGGTGGGTGCGCGGAAACTTACGTTGGGCGCACGAAAGCTTGTGGGGCGACACCCGCGAAGCCCGCGAGTGGGCGAACGTGCACCCATCGCAATACGAGGACATTTTTTATTTGAGACTGCTTTTCGACCTGGAGCCATACGAAAAGGAAGAAGGTTGGGAGTCGGAGGAAGAGGTGTTAGAGGAGGAGGATGAAAATTGGGAGGTGGAGGAGGAGGAGGAATGGAAGGAAGATTGGGAGGAAAAGCATGCGGCTCCAGGAGGATAATGTAAGTATATGTATCCATTTTAAAAAATTTTAAATTATTTGAATTAGTATACTAACAAGACTTGCTTGCGCCATCCTTCCCCCACATGCATGCAAACGCTATCCCTCTCCCACATATTGCGAACGCCTCGCGCTATCCTCCCACGCCCATAGAATATCATTAGCGCTATCCCTCTCCTACACATTGCGTACGACTCGCGCTATCCTTCTCCCACATGCATACGTACGCCTCGCGCCATCCTTCTCCCACACATTGCGGACGCCTCGCGTTATCTCTCTCACACCTACTCGTATGCGTTCTCTCTTACCCGCGGACCCCTCGCCTACCGAATTCGCCGCGGTCCCCCTCCCCTTCTCCGCAGACCCCTCGCCCATCGGTTAGGACGCGGTTCCCCTCCCCTTTCTCCGCGGGCCCCTCGCCTACCGAATTCGCCGCGGTCCCCCTCCCCCTCTCCGCGGACCCCTCGCCAATCGGTTAGGACGCGGTTCCTCTCTCCTTTCTCCGCGGACTTCTCGCCCACCGGATAGGACGCGATTCCCCCGCGTGACGTCATAACCTCTGCGCCGGTTTCTCCTCGCCCCTCACCCCCCCCCCCCCCCCGGACCTAGGTTAGAACCAGCCCTATTACTCTACTTAAAGGAGAGGAAGGAATATAAGAGGTGGTGCAAAGAAGAAAGGAAGGGGCAAGAAAAGGAAGAAGAAGAGAGAATAGAAAAAATTAAGACGGAGACGGAGGGCTGGAGATACATTAATAAATTTAGGAAGAAGAGGAACAGTTTGCAGAGTTCAATTGACATAGAAGAGTGGAAAAGGCATTTTATGAATATGCTAGAAGGAACAGAAAAAAAAGACGAGCATGGAACGAAGAAGAAAAAAAAAGAAGAGGAGGAGGAGGAGGAGGAGGAGAAGATTGAAAGGAATAATGGAGGGATAGGCAGAGCAGAGGTGAAAGCACAGGTGAAAAAGCTAAAAAGAGGGAAAGCGGCAGGAGAGGACGGGATCAACAACGAAGCGTAGATATTTATGAAGGAAGAGATAGAAGAGCTTTTAATAAAAGTTATGGAGAAAGTGTCGGAAGAAAAGAGCATCTCAGAAGGTTGGAAGAAGGGGGTTATATACCCAATATTTAAGAAAAGAGACATCAAGGACTTCAAGAATTATAGAGGAGTCACGCTGTTGGATACGAGTTATAAGGTATACGCAAGTATACTGAATGAGAAACTGAAAGAAGAAATGAAAGATAGATATGAGGAGACACAGTTTGGCTTTAGGAAAGGAAGAGGGATAAGCGATGCTATATACTTGCTGAACTTCATGATACATAAAAAGCTGAGGAAACAGAAAGTGAGGGAAAGTGTTTGCGTTTTTCGCAGATCTCAAGTCGGCGTTCGACAAGGTGGACCGACAAATCTTAAACAAGAGAATGAAGAAGATAGGGATAAGCAATAAGCTAAGAAACAGAATAATGGAGATTTATAAAGAAACGAAGAACACAATTAGAATAGGAAAGGAAGAGAGTGAAGTTTTTGGACGGAAAAAGGAGTTAGACAAGGATGTCCCATAAGCCCGACGCTATTCAACATCTACATTGGAGATCTAGAAAAGGAGATGAGAAAAGGACAAATGGGGGGAGGGGATGAAAATAAACAGAGAGAAAGTTTGGTCCATAATGTATGCAGACGACATAGTCTTGCTGGCAGAAACAGAAGGAGAGCTGAAAGATATGATAAAAAGGTTTAGAAAATACTTGGAAAGAAAGAAACTAGTACTGAGTGCAGAAAAATCGAAGGTGCTGTGTTCGAGAAAGGAAGAGGAAAGAAGAAGGAGAGGAACTGGACGTGGAGGGAAGAAAAGATTGAGGAAGTGAGAGAGATAAAGTATTTAGGATACATTTTACAGAAGAATGGAGGACAACAGATAAGAGAAGGTTACAGAAAAGCTATGGTGGCGATGAAGAACGCGTGGAGCATAGGAGACAGAACTTTTAACAAAGGTTTTGGAAGAAGGATGAAAATGTTTAAAACATTAGTGAACAGCGTAACATTATATGTGGCGGAGGTATGGGGATGATACAGAAGGATCGTCCCGATTGCGCACATTACCGATCGGACACGACAATATTTCCCGATCGGACACAGTCCCGATCGGACACAGGCTCGATTGGACACAGTTCCGATCGGACACATACGGTTGCAATCGGACACCATCCCGATCGGACACAGCCCCGATCGGACACAGTGTATCAGAAATATATAGGTTTGGGTTAGGTTATATCTTCCGGAAGTGGAGCTCCCCTGTAGGGAGGGGGGGGGGCGGAACATACTGCTTCCACGCATATACTTTTTAATGCGAAGTAAGGTTCCACATAGGTTTACAACTTTTCACGCGAAGCGAGGTCCAACGCAAACCTATGTGTCTAGTTTTTTGATAGTGGAGCCCCCCCGTAGGAGGGGCGGAACCCACTGTGTCCACGCATACATTTTCCCATCCACAGAACAATTGTAGGATGGACCTAGCTTCGCGATGGGGACTGTTTCCTATCGGAACTGTGTCCAATCGAGTCTGTGTCCGATCGGGCCTGTGTCCGATTGCAACCATATGTGTCCGATCGGGCCTGTGTCCGATCGGGATGGTGTCCGATTGCAACCACAGAGACGAAAGGATGGATAGGATACAGAGAAAGTACGTGAATTTCTGGGCCTGGAGAGAGTAACACCCAATCATATTCTGAAGGAAGAATGCAAATTGATAAACATAAATCTGAGAAGCATAAGGAGAGCTGTAAGGTACGAGGAAAAGGCTAGAACTTCGGACAAGAAGATAATTAAAGACTGCATGATGGAGATGGATAAAAGGATCGGAGAAGGTAAAGTCAGCAAGTGGGAGAGAAAGAGAAGAGAGACGCTGGATTGGACCGGAACAAGTGAGCGAGAATTGAAGAAAATAAGAGAAGAGGAGAATGGAGAAACAGCAGAGGAGAAGATTGGGAAAGATACAATGAAAAGAACAGAGGAAGAGAGAACTAAGAAGATAGAGGAATTAAGGTACAACGAGTTATATAAGGAAATCAGAGGAGACACGATCCCAAAATATTTAGAGAACAGGAGAAAGGCAAAGGATAGGAATATGATAGCAAGATTTAGGGCAGGAAATGAGATGAATGCGAGGCTACACTGGATGAAACGGGAAGATAGGATGTGTAGGATATGCGGAGAAAAAGAGGAAAAGGTGGAACATGTTCTATAGGAATGCGTGGAGACAATAGGTATAAGACAGAACTTATTTGACAAGGAAGGAAAAGGATTAGAACAAATGAAGGAAATAGTAGAAAGAAGAAAAGAGGTAGAGAGACGAAGGGAAGAGGAAGCAAGGGGGGAATGTTAATAGGCATAAGGAAAATATATAGAGCAGAATAAATATAAAGGGCCTGTGTAGAAAGAGAAGAAGCAAAAGACTGTAATATTGACGTTATATTGAAATTTATATTTATATTATGTTTATATTTATATCGAGATTTTAATTTTTAATTTAATTTTTAATGTAATAATGCAAAAAATTGCAAAATCTGGCAGATATTTTAACAGAAGATGTTTTTTAAAGATAGAATTATCTATCATTTATTTATAAAAAATACAAATATAATTTGTAAATCAATATGTTTGTAAACCAATATTAAATTATTTTATTTTTTATATTAAACAACATATTTTTTATATTAAACAACATTTTTCATATTAAAACAACATTTTAAAAAAGTTAATAAAAATAACTTTTAAAAAACTCCATAAACCTCATCTCTCTTTTTCTACTCTACTATGCAATAAAGAAACTTAAATTGTATCTCGAATTATTTTTATTATTATTTTTCAGTTATTATATTTGATGTTTATAAATATACATATAAATGTCAGTCATATATAATATATAATAATAATATTAAATACAAAAAAAGAATATTTATAATAATAAAAATCCAGGGAGAAACGCGAAATCGGATATTAGATATCGGAGACATCTAGTCTAAAACAACATCTAGAAATATCTGAATTAGATGCCATTTGTAATTGCTAATTGATGATGTAATTTTGTGTCATTGAATTTTTTTAGAGACGATTAAAACTTAATATTCACACAATAACGGTGCATTGTTTAGTGCCGGTCTACAATAGGTGATTTAAACCCTAAGCCTTAAGGAATCGACTAATCACAGTCGAGTATTCTCCTCATACTTGATTGTGATTGATCAATTTCTTAAGGCTTAAGGCTTAAATCACCTATTGTAGACCGGCACTTATGAAACACTTTTTGAGCTGTAAGTCACCTCTCGACGTCTAATAGACATCTAATAGACATCTAATAGACCTCTAAGGGTAAAAGTGACGTTTAGGGAATGCAGCCCCGATGACCTTCAATCTGACATATGTTGACAAGGTCTCCCTCCTGAGTGACCTTCAGAAGGTTTTAGCCGTCGCTCGTCTTTTATTAAAAAGTTGTTAACTAAAATATTATTTATTGAATGTGTTTAGTACTAATACATTGGCCCTTAGGGCCACTAAAATTTCTTTATCCTGATTGGTCAAATTTCAATCTTCAATCTTCAATCTCAATCTTCAATGTGTAGTTTGATACGGGCTTAACGCGTGGCGGAAATCGTCATGCGTCTCAAAGTTTAAAGCCCGTATCAGACTACGCATTGAAAATTGAAGATTGAAGATTAAAGATTGGAATTTGACTAATCAGAACAAAAGGAACTAAAATTTCTTTATCCTGATTGGTCAAATTTCAATCCTCAATCTTCAATCTCAATCTTCAATGCGTAGTCTGATATGGGCTTAATAGCTTTTTTGGAATGGACGGGTTAATCCGAACCCGATCAATTAATCACTATATTTTACTATGAATTCAAGTCTTTTATTGGCAGAGACGATGCAATGACGTCATTAATCGCTTTCAGAGCGATTAAACGATTTAGGGCCAATTTCACCAAGTCCGGTTAGATGAACCGAGCTCCGTAAAGCCGGACCCACAGATATCTATACTACTACTAGATCGCTAACTTCGTCAAAAGAGCTGTGGCCAGCCAGATTTTCGGATTCGGCCGTGACACCTTACAATAAAATGGCGGCGGTGCATGTGTAGTGCGTATGTGATACCCGGCCATGACATCTTACAACAAAATGGCTGCTCCCGCTTTTTGTCAGCTATTGCTATTGCATGAGATGTATCAAAATCTTTTTTTTTCAATTTTAATAAAATTAAATTTTTTAATTTCAATATTTAAAAAATATTTACAACATTTATAAAATAATGAAATATGATATATATTTTTATATGATATATATTTTATTGAAATAACCTTCAAATATTATAAAATTCGAATATTTATTAAAATAAATGCATTTTACTTATCTAAATAAATGAAAACCATTTTTTGTAGTATTTTTGCATTTTGGAACGCAATAACTGCTGGCATCTTTCCAGAATTTTCACAATTACAAATTCACAATTCAAAAAATAAATTTAAATGACGAAAAATTAGAAAATAAATAAATTAAAATTCAATAAAGATAAACAGATAAATTAATTATAAGTAATAATAATTTATAATAAGATAAATTTAAATTCACAATTTAGATATCGGGTATCACGTACGTACTAACACTAACACACGTCGGATATCACATACACACTACACACGTATCGCCGCCATTTTATTGTAAGGTGTCATGGCCGAAACCGGAAATCCCGCTGGCCACTTACAAATCCTTTATTTACAACGTTTGGTGATCCATAATTTATCCCAAAAGTAAAAAAAACCACGTGCGGTTAGGTAGTGGGGATGGCTAACTGGAAGCTGTAAAGTTAGCCGAACAAATATATTATTTACCAACCAATTTTGTTCAAATTGATCTTAATTGAAAGACAATCGTTTGGTGGTGATTGGTAGTCTAATTACAACGTTTGGTAGTTAATTATTAGGCTACTACGATTATAAAACCATGTGCGCACCGAATTCATATCACTCATCATGCTATTAGCCGCAAGAAGCTGGAATCTATCTCATTTAGATTCCTGCGCAATGATTTCTGCGCAGACGATCGATGCTCGATGCTGCCATGTAACGGCACCTTTAAGCGTCGAGCGTCTGCGTAGAAAATTGCGCAGAATCTAATTTCAGCCTAGAATCTATCTCGTTTAAATTCTGCGCATTTTTCTGCGCAAACGCTCGACGCTTAACCCTGCCATGTAAAGGCACCTTTACACGACGAAGGCACGCGCAGACGCAGGATCAGCGCACATGGTTTTATAATCGTAGTAGCCTAATAATTAACTACCAAAGGTTGTAATTAGACTACCAATCACCACCAAACGATTGTCTTTCAATTAAGACCAATTTGAACAAAATTGGTTGGTAAATAATATATTTGTTCGGCTAACTTTACAGCTTCCAGTTAGCCATCCCCACTACCTAACCAAGCATTTACAAGAAATATGTGATGGCTCAGTGCAAGAGTGTTCAATCTATCACGCAGTAAACTCAAGTTCAATTCTACGGACATCTTAACAAAATTTTTTTATATTTTTTATTATATAAACGTTATTACATTTTGTGTGAGAATTATATTTAGAATAATTATTAAAATTTTGAAAATATGTTGACCATTTTGATCCCCACTACCTAACCGCACATGGTTATTTTTACTTTTTGGATAAATTATGGACCATCAAACGTTGTAAATAAAGGATTTGTGACCACCTAACGATTCTGCATCGAATAAGCCCTGATTTAATCGATTAGACTAAAAATTAAAAATGTCCGGCTAACTTTACACCAATATTTTGATTATTTAATTAAAAAAAAAACGATTGACCACCAAACGTTTTAATTAGGCTACCAATCATCACCAAACGACCACCAAACGATTACATAATTTTAATTATTAAAAAGTTAAAGTGGTCCGGCTAACTTTACGGAGCTGATGAACCGACGGTTAAAATTAACAGGGTTCCAACTGAAATGATATGAATGCTTGGTTTTCCTTTACCTCTATTTTCTATTGGCCACCCTGCTAATTTTAACCATCGGTTCATCTAACCGGACTTGGTGAGATTGGCCCTAAACCTGCTACCATAGACATATAGTATATCTAGACCGAGTGTTGAGGAGTGTGGGCCAAGTAGCATAGCGAAAGAGTACGCTATGTTATGTGCGAGCGAGAGAGAACGCAAGGGGCACGAAACAGAGTATGTCATTTTCTACGTGCATCTTTACCCCCACTCCTTAAATAAAGGCAAACGCTCGGTCTAGATATACTATGTCTATGCCTGCTACATTTGAAAATGCTATGGCCGGTATTCATAGCCAGTTCTTATCTTGAAATAAGAACTGACTATGAATACCGGCGAATGAGTATACTTTGCGCATGCGCACTACAATTATAAAATAAACTTATTTTGCAGGTAATTAAAAAATTTATCAATTCACAAACATAACATTGGTATATTTGTAAATCACAAACGATTTCCTGTCGGTTACAGTTATCAGTTACCATAAAATCTGTTTATTACTAAAAAGTGTCGGCTGACATCATGACTAAACTAAAATTGTTAATTACGAAAAATTTAATTTGTTACAAACGTTAAAAACAGATTCACAATCAATCACAAACGATTTACAAACGAAATACACTCAGAAAAGTTAAAAATAATCATATTTACTAATTTCTGCCGGCTAGTTTCATGTAGGTCAAGTTTCACGATACGACAATCCGAAAATGTAGTCATCTGCCTATCGTCGCTCTATAAAAATCGAGCGCGAATTTCTCGTCGCGCGTTCTCGACCACGTTCCCAAAGGTGGTCGAGTTTCAACGACGGACAGTTGCTTTTTTTAGTGGTCGCGCGGGCATCTTCACCGGAAGCGGTTATTACGATTCGCTGTTTGCCGCCAAATCTATCCTGCGTGCTGCGATGGAGTTGTTTATCCGTCGATACCTGAATGCAGCAGCGTAAATAGCCGCGTCAAACGTGTATACGTTTACGCTCCACTTCATCGAGCTAGTACGTCGGGATCATCCCCGAGGTGTTCGTTGGAATCGAATCTGTTGCTGATAAAAACATTTCGAGAATTCGTCGAATACACCATGGCCAAGGTTCAACTGGCTAACGTCGCCGTTCTCGATAATCCCTCGCCGTTTCTGAACCCGTTCCAGTTCGAGGTCACATTCGAGTGCATCGAGGAGCTCAAAGAAGGTGCGAGTTCGAATAAGCACGCTTTGCTGCTGAATAAACACGCGACCTCCAAACGCATTCTCCAAACGCGCTCATCCATCTTTAGGTTAATTTTACGATAATGATGTCATACACAACTTTCTTTTCAAGAGAAAAGCGAAATTGTTTCCTAGTATTATATAATATATTGGCTAATTGTGTGAAAACGATAACTTATCGCTGAAGAACGCGATAGATATGATGAAATGTAATAGAAGCTTCTATTGGCTAAACTTGTATGTTATGTACTCGTTTCATCAATTTTTACACAGTGAGAACAACATACAACGTTGATTATGTTGATTTGTATTTCAGATTTGGAATGGAAAATGATATATGTAGGTAGTGCAGAATCAGAAGAATTTGATCAAGTTTTAGATACCATTTACGTTGGTCCAATTCCAGAAGGAAGACATATGTTTGTATTTCAGGTAAAGCATCATGAATCAGCTTTATTATCATGAATGCTTTGTATTGTAACTTATCCCCAAATTGATGATTTTAATATTTTTCTATTACTATTTTATCCTATGTTTTAGGCTGATCCACCAGATGTCAGTAGGATTCCAGTCAATGATGCTTTAGGCGTAACTGTTGTATTGCTGACTTGTTCCTACAGGGGTCACGAATTTGTTCGAGTGGGTTACTTTATAAATAACGAGTATACGGACCCGGAACTCCGGGAAAATCCACCTCCACAGCCACAATTTGATAAAGTTCAAAGGAATATATTAGGAGACAAACCACGTGTCACTAGATTTAAAATCAACTGGGACGATTGTCAAACTGGAACGACGAATAATCTTCCCGAGGGCATGGAAACGCCAGCGTTAGAAGATACGTCACAAGATGCACCCACGTCCACATTAGGCTTTACGGAAAATACACAAAATGGTGGAATGGAAGTGATGTAAAAAACGATTTGCTGCTGATAAGAATAAGGATGAACTAGCATTAATACAGTAATTTAAACGATAAAGTAGTACCTGGAAAAAAAAGATGGAAGTACACACTCCGTACATATATTTAGATAATTCGAAAAATCGCCCAAATATCTTTTCATATGATTATCGATGTTTTCCTTCAATGAGAGATTCAACAAGTTTATATATTTCGAAAAAAATACTATGTGTTGGTAATGTGATAATCTTAAACCTGAACCTGAACAAAAGAGTAAATTAATTGTTTGTGGAATGGTTAGTATCTCATGTTTCTCTTAATCAAATAATGGTACTGGATTACGCATTATTGTCTTCTTAACATGGCGTAATCTCTGCAAAAAATGTACAATTAATTAAATAGTACTTGTATTAAACACCATCTGCAAACAATAAATGATAAATGATTAATTGTGAATCATTTTACAGTAATGCAATGGAATATTCGACAATGCTCTGTAATATTAACAATATTGTTTTAAAATTACTGTGTTTCGGTAGCCTATACTTTAAAGCTTAAAGCTAAAACATATGTTGAATACTTTAAGTATTATATTATTATTGCTTATTATAATGTCACGTTGCATGTAGATCATAAGGCAGTTTCCATTTTTTATTAGTGTATATACATAAATACTAAGATAAAAAAATACATATTATGTTTTTTACTTGAAGAAATAAGACATAGCTTTTCTTCACAATTTTCGTCCGACTATAAATCCTTAATGTTTTATTCAGTCCAGAATTATCTGCATTTTTATATGTAACAAAGATTTCATACACCTTTGTCGATTCAATTAATAGAATTTTCTTGACAGAATATTACAAAGCGCGCGCTATATGCTCACCATTTATTTCCTTATATCATATTATTTAATAAATTGCAAAATAAAATATAATTATCTATTAGATCGATTACGAAGCTTGTAAATAGACGATGTGCATATACATATCATTGCACATATCTCTAACGCGCATGCGTCACCGGTGCGGCGACATTTTGTCGCACATAAATATTGTATACAAGTCTTTAGAACCAATATACAGGGTGAGTTTTTTAACTTGAAACTGTAAAATATCTCGGAAAGTAAGCTTTATCGAAACAAATGTTTCAAACAAAAGTTGTAGGGTTCGGAGGGGGCCACATGATAAAAATATGGATTTGACCAAGAGTGACCTTCTCAAGGTGAGGTCAATGTGATCGACGTTTTCTTAAATAGAACCCCCCTTTTTTTATAAACCCTACAACTTTTGTTTGAAACATTTTTTCGATAAAGCTTACTTTCCGAGATATTTTACAGTTTCAAGTTAAAAAACTCACCCTGTATATTTGTTATACAATTTTTACCATTTAATTTTTCTACTTACAAAAGAATATGGAGTATACCAGGTACATCTTTCAGAATTATTATTTCATTTAATTACCGAGATATATAATGTTAAACATTAAGAAAATCGCAATAGACATATATACAGATATGATTTAGTTTCTTTAAAATATCGTCTATAAAGAAAAATTTATTTCACATATACGTCCATAGAGAAAGTTACCTTTAACGTACCTGGTCGTCAAAATCATATATAATATATCATTAAGTATTGTTGTATACGAGTATATGTATACATACAAGGACGCTATAGACAGTTATATATATTTCTATTCATGCAGTAAATCATCCCAAGAAAAGTTTCCTAAAAAGGATCTCAAATTGAACCTTTTCCATTGTTGTATTGTTTAGCCAATTTTCTCCCCCTCTCCCTCTTTCTCTCCCACTCCTTCCTCTCTCTCTTTCTATTAACGTAAAATTCGTACATATTTTTTACGTATATTCATTATGTACTAAATAATGATAGAATAATATTATCTTTATTATTAAATACATAATGAGAGATATATAATGATGATTATTAAATTATTTATATTTAATGCAAAACAATCTAATAAAAAGAGTTGCAGTTTTTAGAAACGTGCAAAGAGAAATATTGAATATCAATCTTGTGCATGTATGTGTATGTGCGTGGCATTTTCACTTCACAAAATGTTACGCCGAAAAGGATTATTGTATTCCCAAAATGACATATTATTTACTTTCTCCAATTTTTCTTTGATAATGTTTAGCTTATATATCTCTCTCATATGTATTTATCTTCAGCATAATATAATAAAAAAGACAGAGAGAGAGAGAGAGAGAGAGAGAAAGAGAACAGAAATAATTTTATTCTGTAAAATTTATGTTACGGATTATTTACGGTTACGGTTTTAAAAGATAGGTTATATTTTCAGATTGTACATTCGATTTCGTGAAAGCGCCATTTCGGAAGTTTGTAAAAATCGTCGCATTTTTTTAAAATAATGGAATTTCGTAGCATCAGTAGCGGATCAATGTTATAAGGACCCGAGACCCCATAATCTGAAGGCCCAGATCTGAAAATCTAAAAGAGAATCTATGCAAAACACATACAAAATCTAAATCTGAACACTCAAAAAAGTGGTTTTGCAACTACAGCAAAAATTTTCTGGGTGCGCAAAATTAACTGAGGTACATAAATGATTAGCAAATACTGTGATATCGCATATGTTTCGCATTTAATCAATCTAAGTGACAGAGACAGAATTTATATCTGAACTGTTTGTGAAATTTAGAAAGAATGTTTTTCTGTGGCGCCTATCCATGTTAAGGCCAATCATACTTGTTATAAAGTTTGGCTGTGGTACACAGAAAAAATTAGCGGCAAGAAACAAATGAATATATAATCCTCACATCTAACATATTTGTATAACGCGCCCAATCTATCTCAATAAATCTAGCTCTTTTAAACAATTTCTCTCAATTTTTCGATGCTGCAGTTATAATTGGCAGTTATATTTCTCACAAAGATCGTTCTAGCTGTAGTATCGAAACTCATATTTATCCAATGCAGTGATTAACATTTGGCAATGGGACCTAAATTTTCTAGAAGATATTATTAGAATATTGCTGCTATAAATTCTATATGTAACAGACAATATTCTAACAGATACAAAAAATAGCGATAAATTTTTGTTGTGTCACCTAGAAATCTACCTATATCAGCAAGACATTTTTTTGAGTGTTATTAAGCGTTATATAAAAAAATGTTACAGGACTTTTCTGTTCAATTTACTGTGCTCTACCCGCTCACGAGCGTTGGCATAATCTTTGTATATAAGTATTAATTTTTCATGTTGATATATCTTTTATTTTTTGATATATAATAATGCTACTGATCGCATTTAGTATTTTAGACGTTATAGTTATTCAAATAATCGGAATGGCATATACAATTATTAAACAATAAGAATTAAAATAATTTCTTGTAGCAAGAATTATTTAACTTCGAATCGCTTATCTATTACGCTGTGTACGGGCTCGCAATTCACAGAAAGAAATCTTATCTTTTTAGCTCTGCGCTAATACGTGTTACGCTCCCTGCAAAACAAAAGAGACAAGTTATATATATATAAGTATACGATAAAATTAATGTATAATCGAGTATTGAAGATGTGTGGAAAGAGAAGAAAAATGAAAAATCGGACAAAATTGCATAGTAAACGCAAACGAGAGAAAAACACAAGACCCGACTAATTTACTTGGCAAACGCAAAATACGCTTGCGCAGCGCGATCTGAGAATAATTCTCGCTTTGTTAAATAAATCATTAATTTATATTATTAGTACGACTGCTTATTTGGTAAAATAATTTTTTTTTTCGTTTCATGAATTTATATTTGATATATTCATGTAATTTTAATTTCTACATTTTTTTATGTATCTGGATGTGTGTGTAAATTTACATAATTAATTTATATTTTATACAGAATTGTCCCATTGACGAGACCCGATTATAAAATTTATTTGATGAGCGCAAAACATGCTTGCGCAGCGTGATCTGAGAATAATAATCGTTTCGTTAAATAAATTATTAATTTATATTAGTGCGACTGCTTGTTTAATAAAATAATTATTTTTTTCCGTTTCATAAATTTATATTCGATATATATTCGTGTAGTTTTAGTATCTACATTTTTATATGTGTGTGTGTAAATTTACATAATTAATTTATATTTTATACAGAATTGTCCCATTGTGAGATTAATGGACCATTTTAATGTGCGGCCCTGCCAAGTCACAGGTCCACACACCGAACCCCACCATCAACATCGAACTGTGATGATGCGGGGTCTCTGCCGCAGAGACTCTGCGGAGCATGCACGAACATGTTCAGTATAGCTCAAATCTCCGACACACACGGGACACGGGAATCAGGTGAATATCGCTTCACGACATAAGTGCAACGCGTGCAATTGGAAGCGGTCGATCGAATGAGTTTACCGGTAGCGTGGACGATTAATTCGATTGGCTTCAGATTCTCTAATCACCCGTGTTATAGTGATAATTCTGCTGCGGTGTGTACCGCAGCGAATATACTTGCATTTCTGTATTATCGTCGAAATGGTAAGTACTCTTTACACGTCATAAATATACAATGCAGTTATTTTAAACACGATGCAATCCACGTGGATCGATAAAAGAGATCTGTCAGAGATCCATTAAAGACAAATTTATGGTGCGAAATAATCGAAACGAAATAAGCTAAATTTGATATATATATATATATATACGTCGCTCGTAACATCATTTTAGCAACCCCTTTAGTCATTGCGATTTTGCGCGACCGTTCTTGACATGTATAAGAAGATCGAAACCGCCATGATCTAGCATAAGATAAATTGTGAATAGAGGGGAGATGAAAAAAATAATATGAATGCATCGTGTAATAACGGATTATATCATTTGGAGCGGTTTTTTCGCTCCGAGATTGATCCTCGCGATCAACAAAATTCACAAAGAGTCATAAGGACAAACGAGATAAATAGCGCGTGCGCAGAAATTATCTTGAACATATTCGATCATTCGAGAACGAAGGGATTTCGAATGCAAGTATATATATGCATATGAGCCGTATTAAATACACAATGATTGAATCGTTCTACGTTATTATATGCATGATGTACATACTTGTTTTTTCACTAATAATCGATAAACATAAACAGGAACCGACACGGCCAATCTTTCGTGATTAATTAAATGAACCGAGTATTGTATGCACAATTCAAATTAGATGATTCTAAATTAGCGGTACTGTCCCTTTCGAGAGTATGGTCCTACTTTTAACGTAGACAAATAAAGAAACTTTGTATAAAAGGAAAATTAATTGTAAGAAAACGATTCATGTTCAAATTGCGATTTTCGGAATTAATGACTGTGTAAAATTAGCTTGAAGGTTAACATTTTACTTATGTAAATTTTATTTTCTGTTAACATCTCTCTCTTTCTCTCTTTCTCATTAGATGCCCGTGAGGAAATCATTCGAAGGTTGCGTAAATTCAACGAGGCTGAATTTTTCTTCAATGGTACATGGTACATACAACACGAAAAGAGATTTTATTTCTATTTATGACATTTCACGGGATGGCGGATTACCGCCATTTCGTGTGATATGTTTCTCCGCATCTGTACAGCACCGAATATTTACGAATACTCGTCAGGATTGTGTACTGACATCAATTTTTATTATATATAATGTAGAAAGGGATACGGCGAATCTCGTTATATCAAGTTTATATAATCCAGTCTGCCTAATGTAACGGGATCTTAATCACCTAATGATTTTTTGACGAGTTCAAGGAAATGAAATATCATCTTTCTAACAATAAGATCTGCCTTAGCAACCATCAAAATTCGGAAACTGCGCGCGCATACAAGATTTATTCTTCGTAAAAGCTAAACTCGCAATGAATTATACATTTGTATTTTATATATATTATGAAAAAAGTATTTTATAATTATTGAAAACAGTAGAAATTTTTTTTTAGAAATAAGAGAGAGAGAGAGAGAGTGTATAACATAGATTTTTTATTAGTTATTTAATTCCGTTTTTCAAAAAAGTTTGCGTATCGCGTTTGCATTACATAGTTTTATAATAATGATAATTTCTTAAGAAACGATTTAGAACACTTCCTAAATCAAGATAGAAGATTGTTTTCCGGAATAAAAGAACTGAGAAGAGAGCAGTTCATCACATTACACGAAAAAGCAATGTCGCCACTTCTCGGGGGATTTCATCATCTTTCAAGGACGAGGAAAAATCGACAAAAATGCTAAAAAAAAGAGATGCGAGAAAAGAATCTTCAACCCTCAATCTCAAATGAAACAGTTTAGACATGTGGCTTAATTACGCCACATTTCTCGATATCATTCCATCGCATCGGCCGGATGTAGTGGAATGCTGTAAAAAATGTGCGTGCTTTTGGAATGCAGTACATTGTGACGTTTCCTGTTTGTGGCGAAAATCGGTCGGATCGGAGAAAGAATAGAATCGTGTCGCGTAAAAATTAATGAAGGAGGAAAACGAGAGCGATCCGCGATCGATATATCAAGTATGGAAAGAGGGAGGCTGGAGCAGCTCGTTTATAGCACTATCCCGTGCAAATAGCATGAGTCATCACCTGTCTTCTCGGCCTTTCCTCCTCGGAGCCGGGAATCTCCGATTTGCGCTCCGAGTTGCGCACGCATGCAGAAGCGGACAAGTGTTTCAAAATGGTGTGTGTATGTGTGTATGTGTGTGTGTGTGCGCGCGCGCGTGATTTGTTAGCTATGGACGATAATGAATCACACATCCTTGTCTTTAGTAGGTGTAATACTGTATAAAGTAGATTGATCTTATATAAAAAAATTTAGGTGAAATTATATTCGCTATTCTTTCGAGCAATTTTAAAACGTTGTATCTTCATCTATTACACTTAGGGATTCTCTCTGCAGCAAGTGCCTGTACGCTCAGGTACAGAAAAAAACATTTTTTACATTCTTAGAATACATCCCTAAAATAGATGTTTGCTTGTACCCGGTCTTTGTTATAATCATGGTTCAATTCATCTAAATACAAGACCTCCGGGGATTCTACTTTCATAAGCTTGTTGTAAATGACAGCAGAGATAGAAAAAATTGATACTATCAAGATTTGAAAATAATTAACTAAATATTTTTTGTTAATTTTACTGATAAATAATTATGTTAAAAAATGGATATTACATTTTATAAATTTAATATTTGCTTTCACTTGAATCACCAATAATTTTCCTGCCTTTTTTTCATTGTGGAATGGAACTAACAGCCGAAAATAGCAAAATGCAGAAAACAAAAATATAAAATAATTATTTTCATTATTTTCTTATATTTTTCTCTGAAATGCAATAACATCTTTGCAGGGTTGGAACGGTGAAGTGTGTAAGAATGACAACGACTGTCCTGTCGAACAATTTTGTTATATCTCCAAACGATGTGTGGATTATCTGGACTGTAGCAGATATAATCGCGTGAAAGGTCAAATAGCTGCACAGGAGCCATTGCAATGTGGTCCATGCATGAAAGGGTAAGAAAGTAATATGTATCAAATAATATGCATAAGTATTCACTCTCTTCTTCTCATATTACGCTCTCTTGCCATCTATCATGATATATGAATGATAAAAATCGTCTATTTAGTTATTGCTAATCCGTTTATGAGCGCTTCTACAGACTTTTCGATTGCACCGACATTATACATGTGTTACAAATAAATTATACTATATAATGCAATACTGATGATGAGATATGATATAATCTCTCGCACTTAAACGCGCAATTTAATTAATTCTTTGTATCCAGGAGTATATTGGAGCAAATAAAATTTAACTTTGTATTCAGCATTTCTTAGTGTATTTTAAATGCTAATGTGTTTGAATACTTTAAAAATACTAATGACCTTTAAATAAATTGCATTATTTTTTTGTCTATTATATGATGGAAAAGATTTCACAAATAATGCTACTTTAATTTACAAAAAAAGAAAACCATTATTACTCTTACACAAAACAAAGCTTCATCAAGATACAAAGGATTGACAATAATATTCCTTAATCAGTAGTATTAATCAATAACCGCAATATTTTTACATTATTTTTTTTATCATAATATATAAGAGAATTTTCGTCTATAAAAAAAGAAATTTCATACACACACACACACACAGTATAAACTTTATATATATATATCGTATAATTGTGATCATTAAAATTGGCGGCGAATGTGAAGCGTATTATGTAAATAATAAAAAATAATAGAGTATCCACTTGATATGTGTATGTGTAACATAAAAGAATTGTCTCCTGTCTTTTTTATAGACTTGTCTATAAAATTATCTTGATTTATAGATACATATCTGAAATTCTCGCCACTGGCCAAGAGACGCCATCATGTAAATATATAGAGAATCTAGGTAAGTGATGCTGTTACTCCTGGATTTCGTCAAACAAATGGAAAATAATTGTTCATGTGCTCCATTATTAATTTTTGTTTGTTATTCTTCTGCGTCAAAGTGAAAAATCAATATAAGATATTTATATATCCACATATATTTTAAGTATATTACATAATTTTTTATTTGCAGCTGGATCTGATATTACGCACAAACAAATAATTACAATTACAGTGGTCATTGTGATAGCAATTGTTCTCATCGCAGTTTTATTCTGCTATAAGTTTTACAAACGCCGTAAGTTTTTAATCAGATGTAACTTTTTTCAATTCTATAATTCTTATATTTTGTTATGTTCTTTTTTCTATTTTATAAACATTGGACACTTTATACATGATATATATGTAATGTATAAAGTTAAAATTTATATTATATCTATGTAGAAGAGAGTATTGCATTTTATTATTAATAAAGGTGACAAATCTGGCTATCTTTGTAATTTCATTTTTATAATAAACTTACATAATAAAAACAGATTATACTATGAGAAAAAAAAGAATACGAAATTACACTTATCGTTAATATAACTGTGTAATATTTTTTATAATGTATTTATATATATATATACATAATTCAACATTAAACCACGATAAAGAATTTAAATATTGGGAATATGTTTCTTCAAACAGGCTGCGCACGTCAAATTCACGAATCTAGATCGAATAATGCACATGATATAGCATCAGAAGTAGCACCAGATAATTCTAATGCAATAGCAATCGCCAGTGCTCCACCAGAAGAGGAAAGTAAGTATATTTACACACACATATGCACAATTTGTGTCTATATATAAATATATACAAATTGTGTATATGTGTGTATTTTCACTTTGCTTATGATGAGAAAAATTTTATATTGCATTGTTTCAGTATATAGAATATTTCTTCTTGACCGGTTCTATTGTAGAATTTTGTTTGAATAATTAGAGACAAAGATTGATACCAAAGTGATAGTTTTAAATTTAATATTATAATATTCTGCAATCTGCCATTTATGAAATATTCTAATAGTAAAACATTCCATGCAAGATCTGATAAGAATCTTTGAATTATTCCTAACAAATCGAGCATCGGGCGCAGCTCCTGTTATTTGCAGGGGAAAATAATATTTACAAGAACAAAATTACACATTATAATTATTTATATATATTTATCGATAATAGTGTGATAATATGTGATAACTTTGCATAAACAATTTGTAAATATTTGCTTCCAGGGCCATTCATTGGATCTGGTGAAAAAAAGATTTGCATAGCGGATAACAATAATAAAAGGATCATAGAAACTAATGAATATCAAACCACTGTTCCGTACACTATTCAGTACAGGCGTATAGATGCCTACGCTTCTACAAATAATAATTCCATTACCAATGATTCCAATTCCAATAATAACCTGCTTTCTAGGTAAGTAGTAAATAAATTCGTGGTTTATATCTTTATAGCTGATATGATCGATATTAAATCGATTTTATCGCTCATTTTCCTCACCCTTATTTTTGTTAATTCTCTAAAGCCTGTATCAGACTACGCGTTGAAAATTGAAGATTGAAGATTAAAGATTGGAATTTGACTAATCAGAACAAAAAGAACTACAATTTCTTTGATTAAAAATTGGGCTTAAAAATTATGTAAAATTTGTATAAATAGATTTATACGGTTTAACATATTATCTGATAAATTGTAAAACATTACGTTACAGAGAAGTTACAGTTATTGAAGTACGGGAAGATCAGAGTGACAGCAATATAGAGACATCACGAATTGATCTATCTGATCATAATGATGACAATCTGTCTAATCATAATGATGATGATGATGACACTATAGATTCTGCCTCTGAACCCAACAACAAAGGCGATAAGAAAAAATCAAGTCTAATCATTAATCAAATGGTCCAGCAAAATATCACGATAAACCTGAATGGAGAGGAATATTAATGATCATAATCTTTATCAATGTTGACAACACACACACACACACACACACACACACACACACACACACACACATCATAATGTTATAATCAGCTAATAGTATATTTATACACATCACACACACATATACATAGTACCTTTGTACCTTTGTACCTTTGTATATGTCTATGTTCTTAATATATAGAATTACGTTATATAAATCGCCTTTTTAAAAAAAATTACCTTGTACCTTTTCAGATTGAAAAGGTGATTTATCATAACTCTAAATAATAAAACATCTATAACTTCATACATCTCACAACAACTTCTTACACATACTCAGTTTTGTGAGTAACAACAATTTTTACATTATCAATAAGAAAACTTATGCATTTTATAATAAAAATTTTGTTACATTTCTAAAAATCCTACAATTTATTATATATTTTTCCTCCTGCTCTCTTTTATACACTTTAATATATTGCTTGCTCACTTTTTCTAATTTACGTTTAAAATAAATAAATGTAGATACATTGGATATAGGTCAATTTCCGAAATAATAATACAAATACCCAGCTTGGCAAATAATGACTGTTAATGATTTTGTTACTCCAAATATGACAACAAAATTAATAAATAATTTGTTTTATTTGTAAAGCCAACATACAATTTTATTTTTACATATGATACATATATTTTTATGCATTATTAATATATATAATTTCCTTTTCGCATAGTGTTATTAAATTTTTATAGATTTTAGAGGAAAAAATAATATATGATATTTTACAAGAAAATGATACGAGATGTAATGAAACTCTGTAAAACTAATTTTATACATTGATGGAATCTACAGATACATGTACAATTTATGAGCGTGATACTGATAATATTAAATCGTTTTCAATTTATAAAAATGCATATTTGGGTCTGGAAAATATTTTGCTATACGAATTGTAGTAGTTGAATTAAATGGATATAAAGGATAAAGTATATCTTTTAGTTCCAAAGTATTTTTTATCAAATTAGGATGTTAAATATTATCTTATAAATATTCTTTTTAAATTAACAGTTTTTACAAAAAATATATATTTTAATGTTTGTTTTATATTTAAGGCTCCTGAGTAGTCGCCGCGGCCATATTGGAATGATGACGCGGTATAGATAATGAATAACACGCTGCATAGCGATAAGCGACTGAACTATTTTATAATTCTTTGTAATAAGCTGCAGATTCTGTTCGGTTTTGCTGCCAATTTGCCATCAGATTGCGCACTCTAGATCTTGCTCAGTTTTTGCTGACAATCTGATGTCAGTCATGTCAGCAAGCTTTGCTCGGTTTCTGCCGCCAATTTGCTGTCTAGTTATGTTAGCAAGCTTTGCTTGGTTGTTGCCCGCAATCTGCCAGCTTAATCGGTAATAACAACTCTTGCACCAAATTTGTAGCCTTTTTGCTGACAATAATTTGTAACAAGCACTTGGCAATATCTGTTAGAACAGACGTGGCTGACTGGGTAGTTTGACAGCTCTCGAAAGAAGTGGAAAATGTTCTTTTTACATAATACTTTTCTTGCTAAGCTTAGCTTTCGGACAATTTTATAAGTTTCACGAATACGTTACACATCACAAAACTAGCATAAAGCGGATAATTACGAAATGGCACGCAAGAATAATTTGGGCTGTCAAAACGTCACTTTTCACGCCTCATAGTTCATCGATTTGCAACGTGAGGCGCTGCATAAAAATTCTGACATGTGGGTAACATGCTGGTAACTTGTAGCTAACATATAACATATATATACAATTTTCTTTTAATTTACTCACGAAACTTTTGTTAAACTTACAACCTTATTATTTTATGCATTCTATTCGATATAAAATGAAGCAAATAAAACGCCACTATTTGAACATAGTTATAATTTAATATAAAATTACAACAAGTAATTACAAGTATCATCCGAATAGTTGTAACCGATCTGTAGAGAGTGTTGATGATAGTGATAACAAGGATGAATAAAAGTTTTGACACATTTGTTTGTAATTTTGTATTAAATAATAACTATGTTCAAATAGTGGCGTTTTATTTGCTTCATTTTATATCGAATAGAATGCATAAAATAATAAGGTTGTAAGTTTAACAAAAGTTTTGTGAGTAAATTAAAAGAAAATTGCCTTCCGAAAGGGAAAATTAAAAAAAAAATGTTAGTTAAATTAATTTTATTTTACATGAATAATTCTTTTTAATATAATACATTTGGAAAAAAATATATAAAATATTAAAATATATTTGTTGTAAAGGCTGTTCACTTAAAAAAAATATTTAAGATAATAATGTCTTTTCTAGTGAAGGCCAGTGTCTGTACATCAAGTGTAATGTTGGGGTTGATTTTTTTAAATCCGAAGACAAGTAAATTAGAGCTATCAGATGTGTTACGGCAACCAAAAAAGATGTGATTCAAGTCTTGAAAAGAATGCCCACATGGGCATTCTGAAGAGGCAGTGATATTCTTTCTCCAAAGATGGCCCATAGTTGCAGTATGATCAGATCTCAGTCTTGACATTAGTGTGATAATAGATCTGGAAAGGCTCTCCTTGATCTTTCTATTAGTGTATCAAGGAGGTGAAAGAATATCGTGTTTGTGCGTAAAGTATTTGGTTCCTCTGAGAAGACTCTCCGTTTGAATAACACGAGTGGCTCTACTCTTAGAGAGGGATTTAAATCTAGAGTAAAGATTGGTATAGTGGCACTTACTCAGGAGAAGAGGATCAGGGAGATGCAGAGATTCCTTAGCCAAAATATCAGCCCTTTCATTACCATATATTCCTCTATGACTAGGTATCCAGACAATGTGGATTTCCAAAGATTGTTTGGAGCATTCAAAAAGGGAGCTCCTGATTTGGAAGATCCCGTGATGCGATTTACTCGTTGTTACCGGGTTCGAGAGACTGGATAACACACTCAGAGAGTCAGAAAAGATAGCCGACTTTTTTGTTTTATTATTAAGTATGGAATTGATTGCATATTGAATTGCCAAAGCTTCAGTCTCAAAAATAGTATTGTAGTTATTGATTCTTTCCTTGTATTCAGAGCCGAGCTCCGGAGAGAACACAGCGTAACCAGTCACATTGCCGGACTCTGCGCGGGAGCCATCGGTATAGTACGTTACGTCAAACCCATAAGGTGCAATGAGACAGTTGAAGGAGTCGTTAACATCCGTCATACTGGCGTCCGCAATTTGAAAGCCCAAGTCAGTGTTAATTACAGGATTGAAGTGCCTGTTTTCATACGGAAAATCAAGGTAACCAGGGAGCTGGAAGTGTATGATTTGTTCGAAAAGGTTGAAATGTGCATGATAAACATCTATCAAGTGACATACGTTATTTTTCTCGTTTTCAGGTCGGGTTGAGACCTCCGATATTATTAAATTTAGGGGGTGCAATTGTCTGGACATAATTTTTGAAAGGAATTTCAAAATAAGATTGAACCAGCGCGATTCAAGGGGATATTCGCCGTTAATGTCCAGCAAGACGTTAGTGGCGGGTAGTTATCATAAGTCCTGTGACCGCAAGTAAGAGCCGCGTATTGTAAGCGACAAGCCTTTAAATAAGGTAATTCATCCAATGGAGCAAATGCTTGGCAACCCCAATCCAACAACGGTCTTATATATCCCTTATAGATGGTAATTAAGTTCGAGGGATGAGCGCCCCATCGGATACCTGATATAGCTTTTAGAATATTAATTCTAGGTATTATGCGGTTTTTTAGGTAATTGATATGAGCCTTCCAGTTGAGCTCTGAGTTCAAAATTACTCCCAGGAATCTAGTAGCCATGGAAAAGGGTATATTCTCATTGCCAACTTTTAAAGTGAATTTATATCTATTTAGTAAAATACGGAGATTACGAGGCTTAAGAGTGGTAAATATCATATAATTAGATTTTGAGGGAGAAATCTCAAGTCCCAGGCAATTGAAATATTGATATAAATTATCAAGCGCTGTATTAAGTTGATTATTAATAACATTCAATTGTTGGTCGGAGCAATAAATTGCTATATCATCAGCATAATAAAGTATTTTTACTTCATCTGGTAACACTGTGTGTGAAAGAGCTATATACAGATTAAATAATAAAGGACTTAATATGGAGCCTTGGGGAAGGCCGATAGTTGTGGTACGATTTTGCAAGTTAATGCCAGCAGCGAAGTCAATAAGGTCTCTGCGAGCAACAAGCGAATTAATAAATTTAAGAATTTTAGGAGGAAGACCATATTTATCCAAAAGAGCTATAAGAATCTCCGGTCTGATCCTATCAAAAGCTCCCATTATATCTAAGAATGCTACACCCGTATATTTTTGGAATTTGTTAGAAATATGAATATTAGTAGTTAGAGTGGCAATACTATCTACACAGGATAGCCCCTTTCTAAAACCAAATTGAGTGTTAGGTAGTACCGAACTGTTCTCTGCCCACCATTCAATTCTCTTATAGATAAGTTTTTCAAATAATTTTAAAAGGTTGTTAGCAAGAGAGATGGGTCTGAGAGAATCTCTACGGCCTGGCTTAGGAATAAAAACAACAAAGTATTCTGACCATTGCTGAAGGAAAATGCTTTTATTAAACATTAAATTAAACAATTTTAGTATATAAATATGTAATTCTATTGGAAACTTTTTTATTATCTTATTGGAGATCAGATCAGGACCGAAAGAAGATCTAATTTTTAAAGTAGAGATTGCTTCATTATATTCATATTTAGAAAATGGTGTGAGAAAAAATTCTTTGTTTACATCAGTACCGATATTATGGATTGTTGAAATAAAGTTTTGGAGATCGGGGACAGGTGTAAGAATCGGAGGAGATAGCTTGTTGAAGGCTTCGGTAAATGACTCTACAGAAATAAACGAGTGAGGATGGTTATTTGGATTTCTGTTAGAAAAAGCTCTAATATATTTCCACACTGTGGTTATAGGAGTATTCATATTAAGTGAGGAGCAAAATTCGCGGTAAGCTAGCTTCTTTTTTCTAGCAAAGAATTTTTTTGAGTGTTTCTACATTCTATTCCGAAAGACTTGAAGATGAGGGGGATTGTTTAAA